GTTATAACTGCTACTGTGTAAAGGGAATACTGCTGCTAACAAGAACCTGATGTGTTTAAAGTGTTTACAAACCAAATGGTATTGACCTTTTGTTCATATAGCAGTACTTTTAAAATAAAAGTGCACAATACACTACTTTTGAATTCATTATTGAATTTTTGCGCATAACAATGCGATTAATCACAATTAATCGCAAAAAAATCATCCGATTAATCGCGATTAAAAATGTTAATCGTTACCCAGCACTAATATATATATTATACACATACCCTTTTTCAATATTTGATGGATAGTGAGCTGTTTATGTTCCATACTAACTGAAATCATTTGAACTTCATGAAGGACACTCGTACACACACACACACACACACACACACACACACACACATACCTACACACACACACAGATAATTCAAATTTCAATTCTATGTCACTTTCTTGGCATGAAAGTTTAAAAAAAATAATGTTGACAAATACAAAAGTATACAGTGTTAATATGGACTCTCTCTCTCACACACACAGCGTTTTATTTTAGCGTGGAGAGCTAACAGAGAGAGGAAATGCCTGGCGTCTCTGACTGCGTCCAACAACATTCTGCAGTCTACAGTTGCACGTACACACACCCCAACACGCAATTGCACGCACACACACACACACACAGACACACACAGTGTGCGCATAAAACCAGAATGACTTTTCTCTATCAGTGTGACACAGCGTCACACTGCTGGAACAACACTGATAACAGCTGTTTGTGTGTGTGTGTGTGTGTGTGTGTGGCAGGCAGACAGCATCGCCTCTGACTCTAAGAGAAAAGAAGACTGCGATCATTTTCATCCCTGTTACTCCAGGATAGATGACAGGTTTAGCCTAGCTTAGCACAAAGGCTCGGAGCAGAGGTTAACTGTTAGCCCAGCTTAGCACAAAGGCTGGGAGCAGAGGGAAACTGTTAGCCTAGCTTAGCACAAAGGCTGGGAGCAGAGGTAAACTATTAGCCTAGCTTAGCACAAAGGCTGGGAGCAGAGGGAAACTGTTAGCCTAGCTTAGCACAAAGGCTGGGAGCAGAGGGAAACTGTTAGCCTAGCTTAGCACAAAGGCTGGGAGCAGAGGTAAACTATTAGCCTAGCTAAGAGGAACTCTGACGGACCGACTAGATTTCAGCAGGAAACAGAACCTTTCAAACGAATAGTCAGCTGATCGTCAGATTAAGAACAGGCCTAATGAGACTAATGAGGAAGGAAATATATAAAAAACCTTTGTTATAGTGGATAAATCATTAAAAGACCTACAGTGGTTAACACATGTTTGTCATTACATGTATAAACAGTTATTAAACCAGCCAACATGAGAAATAAAATGCGTATCAAAGTATGACCTGAATGTTGTGCAGTAGTAAACTCGTACCTGTCAGCTTTAAATTTGTACGCTGATTACTATTTGTATTAATTCAAATTTTCTCTGGAGCCATCTTGTGGTGAAAAACAACTCTGTGACATTAATGCAGTTTGTCTCAGACTCTGTGTGGCGCCTGTTATCACAAAGACAAGAGGCTGAACGACATGTGAGTGATGGACACACACACACACACCTCCAGTTTAAAGCAGTGAACAAACCAACAGCTACTGGACACAGTAAGACTCGTGTTTTCTAACATCATTAACGGTTCTCTAGTTACATATTTAGTCAGTTGTATCTTCACAAATGTATTTATATAAGATCTTCATCTGGCTCGTGAGTCTCATGCATTTGTTTTGGTCATTAATAGTTTTACACTCTTAACTTCATACAAACTACTGTCGATGTTTGTCTTCATGCTCATAATCACAGAAAGCGCTGCGGTACTTGCTCTGCTAACGTTAGCCACATCCAGCTAACGTTATCCAAAGTGTTAGCTAGCTTTGTTTTAGCCACCAATGTCAATCCATTTATTCATATAAAAACCTGTCTCTAATCAGTGCGACATAGGAGAGCAACAGTTGTAACTTAGTGGCACGGTTCATTGAATCTGAGGACTTTATCAGACCAAAGATGAGACAAGTATTTCACAGGAGAGACCTTCATTTACTGGCTGTAGCCACTCAACCCCCAGTGTCAGGGGTCACAGTGAGCTGCTCGGTCGGACCTGTGTACCAGAAAGGTTTCTGATCGTCCAGTGAGACCCCCCTGTGAGGTTCAGGGGAAAGAAAGCTCTTCTCCATCTAAGTGATGGAAGAAGACCAGAAACTGTGTGAAGTGTTCAAGGTGTGATTCTTGTCAGTTGAGATTATGAGTGCGTGTGATGCTGGTGAGTTTGTTTTTGTTGGAGATTACAGGGGAACAACACAGTAGATAATGCTGTGGTGATGCTGTGATAATGCTGTGGTGATGCTCACCCTAAAACAAGAACAGGAGGGGGAGCACAACAGAAAGTGTTTTCAGTGTCCCGATGATCTTTTCTGGATGTTAGTGATGTGTTGATAGAAACTTTATTGTTTAGAGTTTATTGTCTATGATGAGGCCAAGATATTTTAAGCTGTGGATGGAGGTGTTGGCTGTGTTCTTTTGTCTTTTCCAATAAGTCAAGTGAGAAATGCAGTGTCAGTATTTGAAGTATTTGGTGATGAGTGAAGTGCTGGACCGGTCATTAGTGTGTGTGTGTGTTGAGGACATGGCGTTGGTGATGATGGTGGTGATGTTGATGATAGTGGTGATGATGATGATGATGGTGATGATGATAGTGATGATGATGGTGAACTTTCTTGATCATTTGATGTCGTTGGATTGAAAGCAGAGCTGAAGTCAACAAGAAGAGCTGAAGCGAAGTAGCCTGGTGATTCCAGATGTTGGATGAATGTGGAGGAGTCATGTCCCAGCATGTGGTCTGACTGCTGGATGGATGGTGTTCATTGGGCTTTGAGCGATTGGTGATCAGATTTTATATCAATGATTGAAGAGCTGATCTTGTTCGCTTTCAAAGTCTGTTGTCATATTTTCTGACATCACCCAAAAAAAGTACTATAAGCTCCTTACGATATGATGATGCTCTCTAGTAGGATAATATACTATATGATAGTGCTCTCTAGTAGAGTGATATGGTACTATAAACTTCTTAAGATCTCTCTCGTCTTTCAGTCTTTTATTTCCTCCAACACTGCAATCAGATTTGAACAGTATATGTATTTGGTTTTTCATTTATTTGTAGCAGAATGTAATATTTTCCGTTCTGTTATGAATGTAAATTGAGTGAAGTTTAAAAGATTACTGTATTCTGGTCAAAGTAATGAAACACTGATGCTGCTCTGTGGAGACGTGAAATCAGTGTGGGACAGCTGTAAAACCTCTACTGTGTGTGTGTGTGTGTGTGTGTGTGTGTGTGTGTGTGTGTGTGTGTGCATGTGTGCGTGCTGCTGTATTTAGCTGCCTGAAGCCTAATATTTGTGGGAACCAGCAGAGTCACTGAGCTGATAGCCGATCTGACAGACAGACAGAGAGAGAGACAGGTGAACTCTATGTTATCTGAGAGTAATGAACAGTGAGAATGCAGATAATCTGTTTTGTAGTGAAAATATTCATTTTGATGAAGACAGTTAGATAAAAAACTGTCTGTTTGGTTTTCAGGAAGATTCTTTACCCAAATGATTTTTAAACATTTTATTAACTCAAATGATTTAAAATGAGCAGGACAGGAGTGATGTCATTGTCTGTCTTTGTTCTGGATCTAAGAAGGTAACTACTTCTTATTTGTGATATAATTACTATGAAATACGACACCACCAACGATAGCTGTGACAGATGACCAGTAGATCCTTCAGAAGATCGGAGGTTCAAACCCCGGCTCCTCCAGTCTATGTCGATGTGTCCTTCAGCAAGACACTTAACCCGTAGTAGCTCCTGTGTGCCATCAGGTTGGTAATGGGTGTGAATGGGTGGTATTAGGTGGTAATGGGTGAATGACAAGTGGTGTTAGAGCGTGTTACATTTACCATTTCTATGAGTTTGTTTTGAGCAACAACTCTTTCTGTGTTTTTACAGTTTAGACTTTCACCTTTCATGTTACTCAGTCATGTACAGAAGTGAATCTCCATCTCTTCCAGTTACTACAACCCCTGAAGAGTTTGTTTAGCTCCGTGACACATTTCACACTTACAGTAAGTCTCCAGGAAATGAATGGAAGTCTACGCAATGTCCCCAACAGTTCCCTCAGTAAACGTGTGTGCGTGTGTGTGTGTGTGTGTGTGTGTGTGTGTGTGTGTGTGTGTGTGTGTTGGAATGAGCTGGGTCATCGTAGCGACTGCAACTTTACACCAGAGGGTCAAACTGATGACTTGCAACAGCTGCTGCTGCCATGGCAACGCAAGGGTGGGGTCATCCCTGGCAACGATGAAGACACCAGAGACTGTGTGTGTGTGTGTGTGTGTTCATTTCTTGGAGCAGCTGTGTGTCTGATTGGCTATCAAACTGACTGTAGATCAGTTAAATTGAATTAATTGAATTTTGCACATAATGCATTTAATCGCGATTAAAAAATATATATTTTTTAAAATAATTTTATTAAAAATGAATCGCATTGTTATGCGCAAAGTTCAATAATTAATTCAAATGTAGTGTATTGCGCACTTTTATTTTAAAAGTACTGCAATATGAACAAAAGGGCAATAACATTTGGTTTGCAAACACTTTAAACAAATCAGGTTCTTTTTAACAGCAGTATTCCCTTTACACAGTAGCAGTTATATTTCTTGCACTATCTGTGCTCAGTGTGCTGACTTTATGTGAAACGTTCCACTGCTGTGCAACATGAATAACATGTTTCAGCACGTTTCATCTAAATGTGTGTCTTGTGTCTTCATGACAGTTAGAGCATGTGAATGCAGCTCTACTGTTCAATATAATGCTGTAACTCCGAGGTGATGATGGTGACCAAGCGATGTCCAGTAGTCTCCAGTGAGAGCAACAGCTGCTGGTTGTAACGCCGTCGCTTTGGTAGTCCTCTCCTTTTCATACAACTCGTGTATTCTTCTTGTGACCGTGCGTCTTGAGGCTCATACGTGACGTCATTCATTGCGATCCTAAAGGTGCGTTCACACCAAACGCGACGCGAACGCATCTTGAGAACGTTCCTCAGACCGACATCTTCCACAATACTAATCGGCTGCAGTTTGTATCCACTTCTCTGTAGCATTTGTTAGCTTGTCTTGCTTTAGTTTAACTATACTTCTCCCACACGCTGCATCAACGTAGTCTCACGAAGACTTCCTCCACCGCTGCCAGTGAGCAACGGACTTTCAAAATAATAATTAAAAAACAAATGCCTTAACACGCGATAAAATAATTGTCGCCATTAATTAATTAATACGTTAACCCGTTATTATTGCGTTAACTTGCCCATCACTAATTCTGATAACCCTGTACTACAGACAGACAGACAGCTAGTAACAAGCTGAAATGACCTGAGACAAACTAAGAGCAGCAGATGTTCGAGGTTCCACTAATGAATATCTGCAGAACAAGATAAAACCATCACAAATACTAATGATGGTTATATCATCATCTTCATCATCATCATCTGTTACGGGTGTAGTAAGGACCCAGGAGCAGTACGACTAACACCAAGAATAGTTTGACTTGAACTCTTTATTTTCTTTGACACACACGACAGGAAGAATATTCTCAGGAAAACAGCAACAGGTTCTCGTGGTCAAGTACAGAAGGCTGAGCGAGTTACCAGGTAGTCCGAAACATAAAACTCCTCAGAGGCCGCAGAGTCAGAATCCCCAGCCGGGTGGGTGGAGGGGTTCAGGGGGTAGGGTTTCTTGGGCCCGGAGGGAGGTCCCTCATAGTCCGCACCGGGGACCTGCTGGGTGTTTCTGGCAGTCGTCTTGGTCCTAGATGGTTGTTCTGGGTGCTGCCGATGAAATCTGGCAATGAGTCGGGGGTCGCAGATGTTCCGAGCCGGAACCCATTGCCTCTCCTCCGGACCGTATCCCTCCCAGTCGACCAGGTATTGAAGCCCTCGCCCCCAGTGGTGGATCGCAGCAGGCGATGAACCGAGTAAACCGGACCTCCTTCGATGAGGCGAGGAGGCGGAGCAGGCGGCACCAAAGGACTCTCCCGGACCGGTTTGACCTTAGATACATGGATCTGGGGAGTTTGAGCCTTACTGCCACCGGGTTGATGATCCTCTCAATTTCGAACGGCCCGATGAACCTTGGGCCCAGCTTCTTTGACTCCACCCACAAAGGTAGGTCCCGGGTTGACAACCACACCCTCTGACCCACCTGGTAGATAGGGGCTGGAGTGCGGTGTCGGTTAGCCGCTGTAGCAGCGCAGTCCGCAGACCGGAGCAGGGTTGCTCGGGCCCTAGCCCAGGTCTGGTGGCAGCGGCGGATGAATGTCTGGACAGATGGGCAGGAAACCTCCTTTTCCAATGCAGGGAACAGAGGTGGCTGGAACCCATAAGCACACTGAAAAGGTGACAGGCCTGTGGCGGAGCTGGTCAGGGTGTTATGGGCGTACTCCACCCACATCAACTGGCGGGACCAGGAGGCAGGATTCCGGGAGACCATGCAGCGGAGGGATGTTTCCATCTCCTGATTCCTTCCTCTCCGTCTGACCATTGGATTGAGGGTGAAACCCCGAGGACAGATTGACAGTGGCCCCCAGCAGAGTACAGAATTCCCTCCAAAAGATGGAGGTGAACTGAGGACCTCGGTCGGAGACAACGTTGACTGGAATTCCATGCAGGCGGAAGATATGCAGGGACATGAGTTCTGCCGTCTCCTTTGCAGATGGGAGTTTGGGCAGAGGAATAAAATGGGCCAGTTTGCTGAATCTGTCGACCACTGTCAGAATGGCGGTGTGGCCCTCAGAAGATGGTAATCTGGTGACAAAGTCCAGGGAGATGTGAGACCACGGACGATGAGGCACTGGGAGAGGCTGCAGAAGGCCGGCCGGAGCCTGGTGGGAAGGTTTATGTTGGTTGCACACTGGACAGGCGTTGATGAATTCCCTGGGGTCCTCGTTGAGCGAGACCCACCAGAAGCGCTGCCGCAGGACGTCCTGGGTCCTCTGGATGCCCGGGTGGCAGGTAAGCAGAGAGGAGTGTGCCCACTGGAGGATGTTGGACCAAAGGGCCTGAGGGACGAACAGGCGGTTAGGAGGGCACGCGCTGGGACCGGCTTGACCCCTAGTCGCGGCCTTCACCGATTCCTCAATCTCCCAGGTGAGAACGGCTACTTGACAGGAGGCAGGGAGGATGGACGAGGAGCCAGATGTGGGTTCCTCCTCCTCCTGGAACTGACGGGAAAGGGCATCAGGCTTGACATTTGGGACCCAGGGCGATAGAGCGTGAAGTGAAACCGGGTGAAGAATAAAGACCAGCTGGCCTCTCGGGAATTGAGTCTCTTGGCTGTGCGGATGTACTCAAGGTTTTTATGGTCGGTCCAAACCAGGAATGGGAGCTTGGTCTCCTCCAACCAATGCCGCCACTCCTCCAGGGCCAGCTTCACTGCTAGTAGTTCTCGGTTACCAATGCCATAGTTTCTCTCGGCGGGGGAAAGCCATCTCGAGATAAAGGCGCAGGGATGGAGCTTTTGGTCAGTGGCTGAGCACTGGGACAGGACACCCCCAACTCCTATGTCGGAGGCATCCACCTCCACCACAAATTGTCTGTCCGGATCCGGGACTCGGAGGATGGGTGCAGAAGTGAACCTGGACCTCAGGTTCTGGAAGACTTCTTCAGCTGCAGAAGTCCACAGGAAAGGATTCTTGGAGGAGGTGAGGGCAGTGAGTGGGGAAGCGACCGCGCTGTAATTCCTGATGAACCTCCGATAGAAATTGGCGAACCCCAGGAAACTTTGAAGTTGCTTGCGGGAGCTTTGGACCGGCCAGGTAGTGACAGCAGTAACCTTAGCGGGGTCCATCTGGATGCTGCCCCGGGAAACGATATAACCCAGGAATGAGACCGTAGGAACATGAAACTCGCACTTCTCCACCTTCACAAACAGGGAGTTCTCCAGTAGGCGTTGAAGCACAGACTGGACGTGGTACACATGTTCCTCTTGGTTCTTGGAGAAGATCAGGATGTCATCGAGGTAGACGAATACGTGCCGGTCCAACATGTCTCGGAGCACGTCGTTAACCAGGGCCTGGAAGATGGCGGGGGTGATGGTTAAGCCGAAGGGCATCACAAGGTACTCGTAATGTCCTTTAGGTGTATTAAATGCCGTCTTCCACTCATCCCCTTCTCTGATCCGGACCAGGTGATAGGCGTTGCGGAGGTCGAGCTTGGAGAAGATGGTGGCTCCTTGAAGTAGCTCGAAGGCCGTTGCGATGAGTGGCAAAGGGTACCGGTTCTTAATCGTGATTTCATTTAAGCCCCGGTAGTCGATGCAGGGTCTGAGAGTCTTATCCTTCTTCTCCACAAAGAAAAATCCAGCCCCTGCGGGAGAGGACGAGGGGCGTATGATACCGGAAGCCAGGGAGTCGTTAATATACTGTGTATATGTGTATATGTATATGTGTATATGTGTATATGTATATGTGTATATGTATATATGTATATGTGTATATGTATATGTGTATATGTGTATATGTATTTATATGTATATGTATATATGTGTATATGTATTTATATGTATATGTATATATATATATGTATTGATATGTATATGTATATATATATATGTATATATATATGTATATATGTATATGTATTTATATATATAAATATAAATTTAATACAAAGTCACTAGCTATGATCATTGCATAGTCACACAGATGGCTTCAATTTGTGTGTCCATCATCAATTGACTTTCCGTTGCCATTGTCTGCATCCTGAGCAACACGAAAAAAACAATAGATTGCATTTGGTGAGTATTTCACAAACAGCCATCCCCGCTCTTCTCCTACAGGAGGTGATTGCTAGAAGACGGTGGAGCTCAAGCAGTTCTGCATGATGCCAGGATGGCGCCTCTGCTGCCCCCTGTTGGTTCGGAGGTCTTAAAACACTTCACGCCATCCTCGCTGGAGGAAATTCAGCGAAGACACGAAGTTGAGCAGAAGGAGCAACAGGGGAGGAAGGAGAAGAACATAGAGGTACAAAAAACAATGATCAGCTATCGTTACAATTAATCAATACACTGAAAATGAGCAATGAATTCTCTGAGAATAAGTAATCAATTAATCCTTCAAGTTCCTCACTCAAATGCAGATCGGCCAATCATCTCATGACAACTATCCGGCTCCAAAGACTCTCATGCAAGAATTGTAGATTTTCTTCATTTTCTGGCTGGTTTTGTGGATTGGAGCTCGTTCTAGAACGATACGTTTCTACATAACAACCTGTAGAGCTAACATTGTAAATAACACAGATGACCTGTAGAGCTAACATTGGAGACGGGATGTATTAGTTTGTCTATGCTACGCTAGAAGGTATACTAAATGTATACATATGCTGCATTTTAATGATTGTAATGATGTTTTTTCCAACATTAGATAACATTTATTCAGGGAGTGCAGTTAGTAACAGTGTGGACTGCAGTGTAGATTGATGGAGTATCAGCAGGGGGCGGGGTTTAGCAAAGGGTTGATCACAATTTAATAATAGTATGAATGAATGAAAAATTGTTCCTCTGAATGACAGATAGCGGAGGAAGATCTTCCTAAACCAGCCAGTGACCTAGAGGCCGGGAAACCCCTCCCATTCATCTACGGAGACCCGCCCCCTGGGCTTCTCAACACCCCACTGGAGGAGCTGGATCCCTTCTACCAATCACAGAAGGTCTCTCTCTCTCTTTGACAAATGATATTCCCAGAGACTGATCAGTATTAATCAATAAATCAATCAATTTATTCTCAGCTTCAGCTGCAGAAGTCACATTAGAAAGTAAATCTGATCATTGATTCATTTTTAGATTGTTTGTCTCAGTAAAGGTTTCAATCATCAGCTAAGTAATGTAATGAATCAGTATACCTGTCTGTCTTGCTCACCTGTCTGTCTGTCTCTGCCTCTCTTACCTCTGTCTCTCTTACCTGAGTGTCTCTCTTACCTGTCTGTCCCTCTGAACGGTCTGTCTGTCTCTCTCTGTCTCTCTTACCTGTCTGTCTCTGACCTGTCTGTTTCTCTGCAGACGTTCATCGTGCTCGGTAAAGGAAACGTCATTTACAGGTTTAATGCTGAGTCGGCGTGTTACCTGCTGAGTCCGTTCAACCCGCTGAGGACCATCGCCATCAACATCCTCATTCACTCATATCCTTTATGATGTCACACTGTGCTTCTCCCTCATTGGCCGGTTTGCTTTGATTTGCATGTTATTGCTAAACAATCAGCTGATGATATTTTTTGTTCCTTAAAATCTTAAAAACGTTATTCAGTTTGTTCATCATGGTAACGATTCTGGCCAACTGTGCGTTCATGACTCTGAGTGATCCTCCAGCGTGGAGCAAAACTGTGGAGTGAGTCAACACACACAAAGTTTACAGACAAATACACACAAATACACACACATACACACAAATATACACGAATACACACAAGAATACACACAAATATACACAGCAGCGGTGGGTAATAATGAAACACATAAGGGTTTCCTCTATGGGTCCATGTAACTCTGACGATGCTGGATCACAACATCAAAACTGTCCAATCAGTGACCTCGGCATCCACCATGTGACGTCATTTTTTTTCCTCTTGGTTTGTTTGTAAAAAAAATAGTTTGACCAAACCAGAATGTTATTTAGAAAGAGTCGATTAAATGTGTAGCAGCTCTTACCAACATGGACACATGTGTTGGTCATGAGGGCGGGGGCACTACACTGTGTTTGTCCTGAGGGGGGGCACCACACTGTGTTTGTTCTGAGGGGGAGGTGCCACACTGTGTTTGTAATGAGGGGGGGCACCACACTGTGTTTGTTCTGAGGGGGAGGTGCCACACTGTGTTTGTAATGAGGGGGGGCACTACACTGTGTTTGTCCTGAGGGTGGGCACTACAGTGTATTTGTATTGAGGGGGGGGGCACTACAGTGTGTTTGTCCTGAAGGGGGCCCTAGAGGACGTCCCATCAGGAGAGGAGAGCTTATCAGTGGTAATAGTTTAGCACTACAACTGTGCAGGCTTCATAAAAACACCATCAGGATATCATTTGTATTATAAGTTATTTAATTATAAATGTGTGTTGATTGCTGCAGCCTTTATGAAGCACTAAAAGTCCAGACAAATATTTGCTCTCTCTCCATCTGTAGTTTAAGCTTTTTTTTTGTGTCAATGTCTGACGTATTTTTCTGTCGTTGAACAGATACGTGTTTACGTTCATCTACACGTTTGAAGCAACGATCAAAGTTGTGTCCAGAGGATTTTGTGTTGGTGGGTTCACCTTCCTGAAAGACCCCTGGAACTGGTTGGACTTCATGGTCATCAGCATGGCGTAATACTCATAATACACATACTTTATACACAATAATACACATACTTAGCCTATTTCGAGCTCTAGCACAAGAGAACCTATTGTTTTTTAGTGTTATTTTAATATCATTTTTATAATCGTCATTATTACCATTATTATTGTTATTCATCGCTTTAATTGAAATTATAAATGCTTTATTACTACTTTATAAAGTACCTAGGGTTAAAAGATGACTTTCTATTTAAAACAGTTAAGATCAACTTTCTAATCTAGAAGTTGTCTGCTTGGTATTGAGATTTTTCTCGATGGTGATGATGGTGATGGTGGTGATGATGATGATGATGATGTCTCTCTGTGTTTCAGATACCTGACAGAGTTTGTAGATTTGGGAAATCTTTCTGTGTTGAGAACATTCAGGGTTCTTCGAGCTCTGAAGACCATCACAGTCATCCCTGGTCAGTGTGTGTGTGTGTGTGTGTGTGTGTGTGTGTGTGTGTGTGTGTGTG